TTATCTTTCCACTTTGCTTGTCTGGGAAGCACTCTGAGTGCACCACCAGTGGCAGCAATGGTGCTGGGGATTACTTGCTTTCTTTTATTTTTTTTAATACTGGGGATTGAACTCAAGGGCACTCAACCACTGAGCCACAACCCAAATCCTATTTTGAATTTTATTTTAAGACAGGGTCTTACTTAAGATTTGCTAATAAGGCCTTGCTATTGCTGAGGCTGACTTTGAACTCAGGATCCTCCTGACTTAGCCTCCCCAACTGCTGGGATTATAGGCGTGTGTCACTGTACCTGGCATTTCCTTATTTTATTATAGCCAACCTCCTGAGTTCCCTTTCTGTTTCGAATGTTCAATATTAGTTCCTGGTAAAGTCCATTTTTAAAATTTTTTTTACCTACCTTTCTAAGAATCTGCTGAGTTGCTTTCTTGGTTTTATGCCACTGAGCAGCCAGGGGGAAAAAAAAAACAAAAAAAAACCTCTCCTGTTCCACCATCTTGAAAATCTTTGCTTTTCTTTCTTTTGATAGCATAGGCATTAGTCATGTGACATAATCTCTGTGTACCTCATTTTCTTCATGAAGAGTATTATAACAATGTCAATTTTAAATGATGTTAAGAGATTTAAATGTGTCACTATTTTTAAATTTCCTGTAATGGTATTTGACATTTAATAACTGCTAGGTAAGCATTTGTTAAGTAAAAATGAATGTAGCTACATATATGAATTTACCCCCAATTATGATTAGTTGCAATATGTATTTGAATTATTTAAATAATCAAGATTGTATCTTTCTCTGTTTAATTTTCTACAGCATATCGTGAACCTCATTATTATTATCAGTTCACAGCTCGGTATCATGCAGCTCCCTGCAATAGTATCTATAATATTTCCTTTGAGAAGAAACTTCTTCAGATTTTAAGCAAATTGGTTCTTGACCTTTCATGTGAAATTTCCTTACTTAAATCTGAATGCCATCGTGTTAAAATGCAAAGAGCTGGTTTGCAAAATGAATTATTCTTTACATTTTCAGGTAAGTGTAAAAACTTTCTTAAAAAATTAAATCACATAACAAATTTTGAATACTTTATGAATTACCAGCAGTATTTTTGGAATATAAATTGTATAAATTAAGTATATTTTCTGTTCTGTGTTTTGATTTTAGGGCTAATAACTCCCAAATAAAGTCCCAATTTAGGTACTCAATGAGAAGTTTGCTCTTTCAAATAACTTAAACCTTCCTTTGATAATTTACTATAGGATGGAATTTAGCATAGGATATATTGTGATATTTAGTTACAATGGTTTAATATGTGAAAACATCTAATTAGGAGATTGGTTAACATTGTAGACCAGAAGAACCATTTAGCTTCCTGTACTTTTCTTGATCTAAAGGGAAGCCTAAAGACAAAGAACTCAACTTGAGTTGCAAGGATTTTAGATTTATAAATGGTCTGTTTAAGAAAGTTCTTTCAGGGATCCTAAAGAATGGGAGCAACTTTTTACCACATGTGCATAACATCCAGTGCTAATCTCTAGGAAAGATAAAGAACTCAAAAATCTTACTTCAAAAAAAACAACCCAATCAATAAATGGGCCAAAGATCTGAACAGAGACTTCTCACAAGCTGATGTAAAGTTAATCAACAAATATATGAAAAAAATGTTCATCATCTCTAGTAATTAGAGAAATGCAAATCAAAACTACTCTAAAATTTCATCTCCCTCCAGTTATGGCAGCTATTAAAAATAATGTGTGTTGGCGATAAGTGTTGGCAAGTATTTGGGGAAAAGGGCACTCTCATACGTTGCTGGTGGGACTACAAATTGGTACAGCCATATGGAAAGAAGTATGGAAAACTGGGAATGGAACTACCATTTGACCCATCTATCCCACTCCTGGTTTATATCCAAAGGACTTAAAAACAGGATACTACAGGGACACAGCCACACCAATTTTGTAGCAGCACAGTTCACAACAGATAAATTATGGAACCAACCTAATTGCCCTTCAGTAGATGAATGGATAAAGAAAATGTGGTATATATACACAATGGATTATTACCCAGCATTAAGAGAATAAAATCATAGCATTTACAGGTAAATGGATAGAGTTGGAGAATATAATGCTAAGTGAAGTAAGCCAATCTCTAAAAACCAAATGCCAAATGATTTCTCTTACACAAGAATGCTTATTCATAAAGGGGATGCCTGGCGAGCATGGAAGCAATAGACAAACTTTAGATAGGGAAAAGGGGAGGAAGGGGAAGGGAAAGGGTATGAAGGTAAGAAAGACCGTGGAATGAGATGGATGTCATTACCCTAACTACATCTATGAAAACACAAATGGTGTAACTCTACTTTGTGTACTACCAGAGAAATGAAAAATTGTGCTCTATATGTGTAATATGAATTGAATCGCATTCTGTTGTCATATATAACAAATTAGAATAAATAAAATTTAAAAAAATAGAAAAAAAGGAAGGCTGTCTCAGGAGTAGCCATCCGTGTGTGTGTGTGTGTGTGTGTGTGTGTGTGTGTGTGTGTGTTTTAATTTTCTGCCTTTCAAAAAAATTTTGATGTTTTTCTATAGTGGGGATTGAACCTACATGTATATTACCACTGAACTACATTTTTTTTTTATTTTGAGACTTGTTCTTATTAAGTTGTTTCAGGCAGGCCTTGAAATTATGATCCTCCTGCTTTAGCCTCTATGTTACAAGCATGCATCACAGCATTCCACTGAGCTCATTCATGTGTTTTATAGCATGCTTCCCCTCCCATTTCATCTCAAAAGCTATTGCTTGCTATATTTCTTTCTTCTTCCATATTTTCCTTTGATTTCTCTGTAATCAGTGTTTGATGATACTTACCTATTTCCCTAACTTTTTCTTCTCTTTCTTTTCTCTCATTCATATTTTGATCATTTAGTATTTAATTTTGAAAGACACAATTGTATGACATTTAGATTTAAAGGCAAAGGACATAAGCAGTTCAACCTAATTTCCAGTCTTGATCTTCCTTGCCAAGTTTTTTCTCAAAAAAAAAAATAAAACAAAAAAAACCCAAAAAACAAAAACCCTGAAATTTGTCTCCAATCCCTAAAACAAATGACCAGAGGCAGACTGTTTGTTTAGTTTTTAGTTTTTCAAAAATGCAAAGACTTTGTAACTTTTGTAACTTTTCAGTGTTTCTATGACAGCTTGATGTTGATCACAATTACATAGTTTACTATCTGCTACTCTATTTTTTGCCACACACAAAAAAAGCCATTGGAATTTTGCTAGGGATTTTATTAAAATCTGTATATGGGTTTGGATATTTTTGCCAGCTTAACAGTATTGTATGTTAGTTTACAAACAGAATATCTGTCCATTAATTTAAGAACTTTGCTTCATTTCAGAGTGTTTTATAGTTATCAGTATAAAAACAGTGACAAATTTAGTTTTTATTGATATAATTATACAAAATAATGGATTCATTGTGGCATATTTTATATATACATAACATAATTTGGTCAGTTTCATTTCTCAGTACCTTTCCTTTCTATCCTCTCCTTCTCTCTCCAATCTTCAACCTCTGGTGTACTGTCTTCCTTCGCTTTTCAGGACCATCCTCTTTGTGCATTTTTCCTTCTAACTCCCACATATAAGAGAAAAACATATGGCCCTTGATGTTTCTTAGTCTGTTTTATTTCATTTAACATGATGTTCTATGCTTCCATCCATTTACTTGCAAGTCCTATAATTTTGCTCTTTATGCCTTCATAAAATTCCATTGTGTACATATACCACGTTTTGCCTATCCATTGGTTGATGGACACCAGCTGGTTCCATAACTTGGTCATTGTAAATTGTGCTACTATACCATGCATACACATGTATAACCACAGTATGATGCCTTCAGTTCTTCTGGAAAACACTGAGATCATATGTTGGTTCTATTCCTACTCTTTTGAGAAACTCCATACTTAACTTTTTTTTTTTAAAGAGAGAGTGAGAGAGGAGAGAGAGAAAGAGAGAGAATTTTTAATATTTATTTTTTAATTCTCGGCGGACACAACATCTTTCTTGGTATGTGGTGCTGAGGATCGAACCCGGGCCGCACGCGTGCCAGGCGAGCGCACTACCGACTGAGCCACATCCCCAGCCCTATACTTAACTTTTTTAATGGTTTCACTGATTCACAACCCTACCAACAGTGTATAAGTGTTCCCCCCATCTTCACCAGCATTTATTATTATTATTTGTATTATTGGTGATTGCTGTTTTAATTGAGTAAGATGTAAGTTCAGTGTTGTTTTGATTTGTACTTTATTGATTGCTAATACTTTTTTCACATATTTTTGGTCATTTCTGTTTTTTCTTTTGAGAAATGTCTGTTTAGATACTTTGCCCATTTATTAAATTGGTTGTTTTTTTTCAGTGCTAAGTTTTTTTTTATATACTTTAGATATTAATCCTGTGTCTTAAGAGTAACTGACAAAGATTTTCTAATATTCTATTTGCTCTCTCTTTATAATCTTGATTCTTTTGCTCTATAGAAGTTTTTCAATCTAATATCATTCCACTTATTAATTGTTGGTGTTACTTTCTGAACTTTAGGGGTCATATTGAGGAAGTTACTGCCTGCTCCTACATGTTAGACCCTGTGTTTTCTTCTAGAAAACGCAAAATTTCTCTTCATTACTAGGTCTTTTATTTTCTTTAAGTTAACGATGATGAAGGGTGTGAAATTGGGCCCTAGGTTCACTAGGTTTGCGTTTTACATATGGATATCCAGTTTTCTTAAGTGCCATTTGTTTAAAAGGCTGTCCTTTCTCCATTGAATGCTTTTAGCACGTGTTAAGAATCAGATGACTGTATGTATGTGGGTTTGTTCCTGTGTCTTCTGTTCTATTCCATTGATCTTCATGTCTATTTCACTACCACTGCTATGCTATGTGGACTTATCTCTGTTTTGTATTCTGCTCTGCTGGTCTGCATGTTTGATTTTGTGTGGTATCGTGCTGTTTTAGTTACTATGGCTCTGTAGTATAATTTGCAATCAGGTATTGTAATGCCTCTAACATTACTCTTTTTTATTAGAATCGCTTTGACTATTCTGGATTTTTTACCTTTCATAAAATTGTAGGAATATGTTGTGAAGAATGTCATTGACATTTTGATGGGGATCATGTTTTTATTGTTGAGATTGTTCACCTCCTTGGTTAGATTTAGTCTTATTTTTTTATTCTATTGTGAATCAATTTGGTTCATTCATTATTCAGCAGATTCCTTATTGACATATATAAAAGCTATTAATTTTTTGATTTTTGTTTTCTGCTACTTTGCTGAATTTATTGATCAACTTTGAAAGTCTTGTGGTGGGATTTTTGAATCTTTTAAGTATAGGATTATATCATCTAGAAACACTGATAATTAGACTTCTTGTAAAACGTGTATCCTTTTATTTCCTTCTCTTGACTAACTGCTCTGGCTAAAATTTCAAGTACTATATTATATAGGAGAGGTCAGAATGGAGATTTTAGTCTTGCTCCTAATTTTAGAGAAGATGATTTCAATTTTTCCCTATTCAATATGATGCTGGCTTTTTGATTTTCATATATAGCATTGATGAGGTTCATTCTGTTCATTGAATGATGAGGTTCATTGATGAGTTCATTCTGTCCCTAGTTTCTTCAGTGTTTTTATCATAAATGGGTATTGAATTTTGTAAAAGGCTTTTTTCTGCATCTTTTTAGGTAGTCATATGATTTTCCCTTAATTCTGCATATGTGATGAATAATATTTTTTGGTTTGCATATGTCCAGTCAACCTTATATCCTTGGGGTAAAAGCAACTTGATCCTAATGTAAAATCTTCTTAATGCATTTGAATACAAATTGCTAATATTTTTAAGGATTTTTGTATCTATGTTAATCAGGCACATTGGTCTGTAGTTTTCTTTTCTTGATGTATTCTTATCTGGTTTTGGTGTCAGGATAAGACTGGCTTCATAAAATGAATACAGGTGTTTACAAGTGTTCTTTCCACCTTCAACTTCATGGAATAATTTGACCATCATTGATTATAGTTCTTCTTTAAAGGTCTGGTAAAATGCATCTGGGGAAAGATTTGGTCCTGGGATTTTCATTGTTGGAGAGATTTACTTTGTTGCTGTTGTTTTGTATTTTTTAAATTATAGCCTCAATCTCATTGCTTATTATCAATTTGTTTAGATATTATCTTCTTTTTTGTTTCAATTTTGTTTGGGTCATACATGTCTAGAAATCTGTCTATTTCTTCTAGATTTTCCAATTTATTGGAATATAAGTTTTTAAACTAGTTACTAATTAATCTCTTGATTTCAGAAATGTGTTTGGCAATATCTTCTTCTTCATCTCTATTTTTATTAATTTGCGTCTTTACTTTGGTTAATTTGTTAAAGGTTTATCAATATTATTTATTCTTCAAAAGAACCTACTCCTCTTTCATTGATCTTTTGTATTGTTCTTTTATTGTATATTTATATACAATATATTGTTCTTTTATTGTATATTTAATAATTTCAGCTGTGATCTTCCCTTCTACTATTTTGGAATTGTTTTATTCTTATTTTTCTAGGACCTTGAGATACATACTAAGTTGTTTATGTGGGATTTTTATGATGTATGCACATAAGCGCACACATAGCTATAAACTTTTCTCTTTGAAACCACTTCATAGTGTCCCAGAGATTCTGGTGTTGTATTTGCTATTCTCCTTTATTTCTAGGTATTTTCAAATTTCTCCCCTGATTTCATCTCTCATCTGTTCATCATTCAAAAGTGTATTATTCACTGGGCGCTGTGGCACAGGCTTGAAATCCCAGTTGTTTGGGAGGCTTAAGACAGGAGGATCACAAGTTCAAAGCTAGCCTAAGCAATGGTGAAGCAGTAAGCAACTCAGTGAGACCCTATCTCCAAATAAAATACAAAATGGGGCTAGGGATATGGCTCAGTGGTCAAGTGCCCCTGAATTCAATCCCCGGTAACAAAAAAAAAAATGGTGTATTGTTCAATCTCCATGTATTTATGTAATTTCTATTGTTTATTTTTCTTGCTAATGATTTCTAATTTCATTTTCTTGTCATATGTTAAGTGCAAGAAGTTAAATTGTTTTTTTAAAAATCTTGTAAGACTTGCTTCATGATCTAAGATATTGTCTATTTTAAAGAAGGTTCTATGAGAGTCTGAGAAGAGACTGAATTCAGCTGTTGTTAGGTGAAATATTCTATAGATGCCTTTTAGGTCCATTTCATATGTATTATTTTTTAGGTTTGTCCAAAGAATTTTTTATTAGTTTTATATTTGGACAGTCTGTCTCTTCATGAAAGAAGTATATTGAAATCATCTAGTATTATTGTATTGGCATCAGAATCTTTATGTTGAATAGTGTGTATTTTATGTAATCGAATAATTTGGGGCACAAATATTTACTATTATTTTGTTTTCCTTTTGGATTCTTCCCAATATGAAGTGACCTTCTTTGTCTCTTCTTAATTTTGTCTTGAAGTCTGCCTTATCCAAAATGAGAATAGTTATTCCTTCTTGTTTTAGACCTTCATTTGCATGGAATATCATTTTCCATTCTTTCCCTTCAGCTTATGAATGTCTTTTCCTGTAAGTAAGCAACATATTATTAGGTCTTGTTTTTTAATTCAGTCTGCTAGTTTGTTTTTTTTTTAAATTTAAATGTGGAGACCATTTATATTGTGTAATTACAGGTATTTATTTCCTCCCATTTTTGATTCATTTCTAATGTTTAATTCAGTCCTAATACTCATTTGCTCAGCTACTTTTCTAATGAAATTCATCTATTCACAAGCTCAGGGATTTTTTTCTTTCTTCTTCTTCTTCTCTTCTTCTTCAAAACAAAACAAACCTTTTATGTGTAGTATTTCCTTAAGTATTTTTGTAGTGCTGCCTTAGTACTCCTGAATTCTTTTAGTTGTTGTTTTTCTTGGAAGATTTTTATTTCTTCACTAATTCTGAAGGATAGGTTTGCTTTTATTTATTTTCCTTAATGGAAGCTTTGATTATTGAATTTTTATCTTCTCTAATATGTATTCACTTTGTTATAAATTTCTTT